CATTTCTTTTATTTCAATACTATTCCTAACGGTTGTTTTTCCTCCTGGTTATGAATCATATTTTGTTGCTTCTCTCCATGCCCAATAATTGTTATTTAGATGACAGGTGTACATTTTTCATTGCTGCATGTTGGCTGGCTTTCCTTGTATTCCTTTAAAGAGTATTGAACTTCATCTTGGCAAACAGATTAATTACTCACTGATCATTTGGATCCTTTTAAGCCTTGCTTTTAAGTTTTTGGTAAGTTTAGTTTAGTTAGGGAGGGTCTAGAGCAGGCTTTAATCCAGGGGTCATTTAGCTCTACTACTAAGGGGCTAAGTGCATTGAGAACACTACCTAGTGCATTACTGTGTCTTTCTACTCTGGCTGTTGGGAATGTGAATTATTTCAAGCTTTCTGTGAGCTCTAGGAATTTTTTCAGGCTATGGCTTTCCAATATTTTTTTTTTTTCCCTCAGCCACATAGAATTTTATCCCATGCATACACAGATCAGTACTCCGCCAAAGATTCAAGCAGACCCTTCTGCAGATCTCTGGAATACTCTCTGTGTGTGACTTTCTCATTTTTTAGACACATATTCTATTGGCCCCATAAATTTAATCTCAGCTTCTCCAAACTCTGTGTTTCTCAATCCAGCTATAGTGCTGGCTTTATTCGGGTTCCCCCTTTTTGGGTTGCAGCCTAGAAACTTCCTTCATGCCCTGCCTCATTTGCTTTCCTTCTCTCAGAAATCACAGTCCTGTGCTTCCTGACATCCACTGTCTGAAAATAATTGTTTCTTAGTTTTCATTTTTTAGTTTTTGGTTTTGTAGTTTAACAGCTTAAAAGAGAGAAGATAAACCATGTAAGTGCTTTAAATAAAAGACTCTTTAAAAAGAAGGAATATTCTTTAGTATCAAATGCAACACAGGACGGACGAATAGGATTAGGGTTGACCAGTGTCCATTAAGAGCAATAAGGGCATTTTGATGTTAACGAGAGTCATTCCAATCAGTCACATTGGGTTGAGGAATATTAGAACATGATGGCCAAATGTGGCCTGTTTGACTCCACGGTAGTACCAAATAGGGATATAAACCATTTTTTCTGCTCACTTAGCACACATGCAGGGTCTAATCATCTTTACATATATGATAAGGCATTTGAATACACTGGCCCAGAATACATAATTTGGAGGAAAACAAGAGTATTGGTGATTGTTCAAGGATGTTCAGATATATGACTTCAATTAGTGGTATGATTAAATAAAAACTAGACAGGATATTCATTTTTCTAGTGCCAATGGCACTATTAAGTTTGAAATACATTTTTGGAAACAAAACAAAAACTTATCAAGAGTTCCAAAGCTTTTTGTGAGTATGAACAGTGCTATCAGTTTCCATCACTGACTTTTTACATTTTCAACTTTGAATCCAAGCATCTACCCATCCCTTGGACTCTTGAATAAACCCCAAGAAAACTTAAAAGGGTTCCATTCTATCCACAAAATCTTGTGATGTGGCCAAACTCTAATAATCTCCTGAAATTAAAGCTGATGTCTACTCTGGATATAAATCAAAATGGAATATAGACCAAGTTTCCTTAAAAAAAAAAAAAAAGTAGTTCTATGTTTGATACTATTATTTTTACTGGTCATTGAATAAACATTATGTTGATTGAAGTTGATTGAAAATTTTTGATTACTTGGAACCACTGTTCAAAATCTGAATTTCTGAATAGCTACACACTTCATCATTATGAACAATTACAAAAAAAATTCATAGAGTCCTCACAAATATTTATGAGCATATATTCTACTATTGAAAAAATTTGGATGATTATAATCTAAATGAACAGTGATTTGAGATTTATAGCTTCCTTTGTGCCATGGGTAATTTCTCTGTGCTGAAGTGTGAGCACACACATCATTTGAGATTTCACTGAAGTAGAATACAAAGCCTGCCACCTTTCACTAGCAGGGGAATAGTGCATAAATCCTCTATTGCTAAACAAACATTACATCTAATTATGATTTAAGTTTGATGTTGGCTATAGAACTATCTAAACATATGGTTAATGGTCCCTTTTATTCTCCACTATAACTTCCTAAATAAACTTCCTGATTTGGAAAGGCCCCAATGTCTACTTGGACTGTCATCTAGTCTTTAAGAATTAGTGCTTTGGTATTATATAATAAATTGGGTAGCAGACACTTCATATTTTAGTTAAAGGATAAGAATGTCTCATGAGACATTTTAAAATATATTACATGTATATAGTTTCTATAATATATCATAATTTTCTGTTTCTGATTATGGCCCATTTTATTTAAGTGAGTCAAGGAAAAATCATTTAAGTGAAAGAATTATTCTTTTTTTTAAGATTTTATTTATTTATTTATTTTAGAGAGAGATAGAGAGAGAAAGAGAGAGCAGGGGGAGGGAGAGGGACAAGCAAACTCTGCACTGAGCATGAAGCCTGACATGGGGCTCCATCCCACAACCTCATAGATCATGACCTGAGCCAAAATCAAGAGTCAGATGCTTAACTGACTGAGCCACCGAGACACCCCTAATTATTCTTATTTTGAAATCTCATTCTACATCTGATGTTCTTATAAGGATGAGTTACTTGGGGTGACAGCAATGGGTTATTCTATGCTTAGGAAACTATGTCCATGTTTATAATATAATAAATAATCATATTTTGGATCTTTGGGCTTAAAATAACTTTCAGTAGCATTTTTTTTTAAACTGGATAGCATTGAGGACAGAAAAATACTTACTCATAAAGACATCAAAAATACTAAGGCCTAATGATTACTTTAATATCAGAATCTGGGAAGATATTTCACCAAACATTTGGACAGGAAAGAGATGATAGATGGAAGCTGGTGATTGTACATCACATCCTAGAAAGAGTAGACTCATAAGTAAACTACTGTTGGGAAGAGCAGAGGCAAGAAGATCCCCAGTAGTAGTGGATATAAGAATGAAGCTAAGCAATGAAAATGGGAGAAATGCAAAGGGGTATCCAGCCAGACTTGGATCTGGGAATTTGGCAGGTTGAAATGCATACAAGTCTGCTATAGAGCTATACAGATATAGATCTGAGAAGGATAATAAAACAGCACCAAAAAGAATCAGGTCATTGATGACATACAAACATTGCATGGTGGAAAACTCAGACACAAAGAAAGATGGTACCCACGTGGGTACCAAGTCAGGACTTACTTGGGCGACAGAAACCATAACAGTTATTTAAACAGGGGAAGTAGAATATAAAGAATTGTTAACTTGTTAAAGGTAGTTAGTTACTGAAAAAGCATAAAGGAAGGATATAGGGGACCTGAAGTAACAGGTACAAAAGAGTAGCTACTATTTCTAGGCTGAGTGAGGGTAAACAGAGATTGTGGGCAAGTAGCTGGTCTATAGATGCTGTCCACCATTATTTCAGGATATGAGCATACTGAAGCTACTTGTCATGGTCCGAGGATGTGTGCAGACCAAAGCTACTCAGAAAGCTGCCTGTGGGAAGAGAGTGGCCTGAGGGCACAGCTGTGATTCTTTCTGGGCTTCTGGGCTCTCATACTAAATAGTAAATGGTAATAATGACAATAGTAATGAAGAACCAGAACCCAGGACAGAAGTGTCTTCCCACCACTGTGGCCTTATTAGGTTTCTCCAGGGCCCACTGTTGACTAAGCCTAACGTTCTGCTACCCAATCAGAGAGAAATGTCTACATTGACATGATACCACAGTATCATAAAGCAGGACAAGGAGGGAGGGAATTTACAGCTCAGAGACAGTAGATTGATCATTGCCACTGCTGATCTCTGAAAATGACTTATTCCAAAATCCTAAATTGGCATTTTCATTAAATTGTAATGAGAGATGAGCTCTGTAAATCAAGAGCAGAAAGACTTAAAAGAATGTAAGACAAAAAGACACAGATTGAAACTGAGTGAGATGAAATAAATTATTGAAAATCAGCTAAAAATACAATAGTGTAATTAAAAATGCATTGGTAGCATATACATGCAATGGAATTTTCACTGTTGACCACTGTAAAATGGTCAACAAATCTGAGAGGCAAGTAGGAAAATGGCTGTAGAGAACATTAGGATATCACAGGTCGGGCAGACAGACAAAAGCGGTGTACTTTAAAAATTGAAAGTGATCCTGAGGAAGCAAATGGGTAAATTAGGACAGAAGTAAATATCAAAAATAAATTTAAATAAAAAAATACTGTTGTTCTCAAACTGAAAGAACTCATCAGATTCCAGTAAATTAATTAAAAAGACTCAAACTTTTAAAAATTCTAACAAATTTTGAATTTCATAAATAAAGAGAACAATCCTATGCATGCCTAGGAAGAAGAAAATAGGCTACCAGCAAAACACCTCAAATCAGGCTTGTCTGCAAAACAAAATGCCGGAAAACAACATCCTGGCTAGATGTCCCTTCCCTGAATTCTCTTGATTTCCCCAAATCTGGTTTGGGGCTCTCTGTATGTTCAGAGACTTCTGTACTTCTCCTATTAAATAATTCTTATTTTATCCTGATATATATATACATATATATATATATACACTTGTCTCCCTCTGTTACATTGTGAGAGAAGTCTCTTTACAGCTTAATTTCTGTAAATTCTGTAAAAATGAGATGATAAGGTAAAATGACTGTCTAAATTTCAATCTTCATAACAAAAAGTGGTTGAGAAAAACCCATACCTACCTCCTCCTTGCCACAAAAAGACAGAAAAAAACCCCACACATTTTCTTTCTTATTCAATAGGATTATGGTTTCTAGACACTCATCTATTTTAGTAAATGCAGGAAGCAATTTTAATGTTATGTTCATTGATGTTTCCCAAGCGACTAAACTAGCACAGTACAAAGCATATAATAGACACATGATGAATATGTGTTTAATGGAAGCATAGAAACACTCGAATTAAAATTTTAAGCTATTTCCCATGAAATGGTGTTAATGGTTGCTGTTTTTATCTCCTCCATAGGCTTGTAACTGCAGCACAGTGGGATCCTTGGATTTCCAATGTAATATAAACACGGGCCAATGCAGCTGTCACCCCAAATTCTCCGGTGCCAAATGTACAGAGTGCAACCGAGGTCACTGGAACTACCCTCACTGCAGTCCCTGCGAGTGCTTCCTGCCCGGGACTGACGACAGGACCTGTGACCCAGAGACTGAAAAGTGCTCCTGTGTTGATCAGACTGGGCAGTGCACCTGTAAGGTGTGTGCTGCCGAAATACACTAAATGAAAACCTTCCCTGGGTTCTCTTTCCGTTGCTCACTTTTAACTTCATTCATGCTTCACTACATTAAACAAATAGACAAAAATTCATTGCCAGACACAATGTTTATTCATATATGTTCATTAGCATACAGATAAGCACTGCTCTTTAAGAACTTGTTTTTCACCCAAATCCAACTTTGTTTCCAGTTGATAGAGATGGTATATTTTTAATGGTAAAGTTAAATTTCTCTTTACATATTTGCTTTGCTTAAACAGGAATAATTTGGGAAGAAAAAAATGACAGTTCTCTTAAACATCATCAGAGGAAAATCACAGCTAGATAATAAGGCTTCTAAAAAACCATTTCTCTTCAAATTAATCCACAGTCACTGTACACTGAAAAATATATTCGTTGCTGTGGAAGTTCAGTAAAATTTCATCATGTATAAACACTGACATAACAAACAGCGACTATGTGCAAAATTCAGCTCTCCTTAATATTGTTAAATGATGTAGAAAAACAGCCAATTAAAAAAGATAAGAGGGATTCTCCCCCGCTTAGATATTTCTGAAAAATCAATCCCAGGATAAATGCTGTTAAGACTGTGTCAGAGGTAGCTTTTCAAGAAAAAAGTCTATGCAAAGAGGGACAGAGGACATAGGAAAATGAAATCCTGGGAGTGATTATTAAAATAGTCTTCAGAATTTAAGAAAATGGCAGCCCTTGCCATTGAAGTCCCCAGACAAAACACAAAGTCCAGTGCTGCGTTATTACATACTATGATTACACACTGTATTTAATATGCATTCCATGTGCTTATATACGCTACATAATGGTAATTCTATAAGCCCTCTATTTTAACACCCTGCCTGTTTTTTACAACTTTGTATCACACCACTGTCTGGGAATCAATGTTTCTGTTTTGCTTTTGAAATTCTCATGACTCTTTCATATTGTTCACAGCGGATATTAGGAAATGTGTTGCTTAGATTTTAAGACCAATGTACAGTAGCCTCTGCAATGTATTTATGTATAAATAAAGCCTTTTTTAGACTTCTGAAATCCTAACAAGGAAATTAACTACATATGCCATTTGAGATGTGAGTCTAATACTCAGTGTTCCTTTTTGGTTAATTAAGAAGAAGCATTACTCATTCTCAAGTTGATTTCTCTCCTAACTTCATCATCGACCCTGAGGAACTCTCCTCTTCCTTCAGGTGAACGTAGAAGGTGTCCACTGTGATAGGTGCCGGCCGGGCACATTTGGACTTGATGCCAAGAACCCACTAGGCTGCAGCAACTGTTATTGTTTCGGGGCTACTACCCAGTGCTCTGAAGCAAAAGGCCTGATCCGTACGTGGGTGAGTAAGGAACCGCTGAGCCATGTCATGGTGTAATGTCAGTTCCTGCTGGTGTCCGTCAGCCAGGCACTGAGGGGGAGGAGGCAATGGTGAAACATTTAAGTAAGCTTTTCCCCTGTGCACATTTACAACTGGGGCCGTGTGACATTAGACAGTTGCGATAAATGCCTTTTATTTTCCCTCCTAAAAATAGCTCATTTATTGTTGATAAGGAAATAGATGCCCAGTGAGAAAGGGAGACTTTGTAACCGAAGCATTATGTTTGGGGGATGGGCAGCAGCTGCATTCTGGGGAGTGAGGGCACCAGAGCATGAATGCAGGCAGGTGCTAAGGCAGTCACGAGAACCAGGACTTGTTGCACGTTCACTCGAACCAGCCTTAGAGAATCGCTGCCTTTTAGGGTGGCAGCGTGTTCATTCTTACTTTCATTTTTCTCTAACTCTTCCCACTTTTAAGTTCTACTTTTTATTAGTGTGAAAGACCAATTTTCACAGATGTTGTAGTTTTCACTGTGCAAAAAGGCAGAAAGACTCATCCCCTGTCCTGGTGGCTCACGATGCACAAGTTTTATTTCTCATCAGAACGAGAATGGGGCTGCAGAGAGACACGCAGTCCCTAACTTAGTTTTAAAGGGGTGCCCAAAAGATTTGAGCTGAGCGCCCTGCTGTGTTTTGGTGCCCACGCAGGTGACTCTGAAGCCTGAGCAGACCATTCTGCCCCTGGTGGACGAGGCCCTGAAGCACACCACTACCAAAGGCATCGTTTTTCAACACCCAGAGATTGTTGCACACATGGACCTCATGAGACAGGAACTCCATCTGGAACCTTTTTATTGGAAACTTCCAGAACAGTTTGAAGGAAAGAAGGTAAGGACAAGAACTTCAAAGTCATATGAGAACAAAGTAAAATATGTTTTTGGACTCACGCCATTTGGGGCTTTATCTGACACATCACTCCTCACTTTATTTTGTCAGTTGATGGCCTATGGCGGCAAACTCAAGTACACAATCTATTTTGAGGCTCGGGAAGAGACAGGTTTCTCTACCTATAATCCTCAAGTTATCATTCGAGGTGGTACCCCTACGCATGCTAGAATTATCACCAGGCATATGGCTGCTCCTCTAATTGGCCAATTGACACGGCATGAAATCGAAATGATGGAGGTAAGCTTATTAGTTTGGTGCAAGGATGCCAGTGGTTTTGTATTTAGTTTCATCAAAGTGGTTTCTTTTCCTATTAACAGAAAGAATGGAAATATTATGGTGATGATCCTCGAATCAGTAGAACAGTGACCCGTGAAGACTTCTTGGATATTCTATATGATATTCATTATATTCTTATCAAGGCAACTTATGGAAATATCATGAGACAAAGCAGGTAAACTGTAATAGAATTAAAGTTCAATCCTTATTTTAGAGTCTATAGGTAAGATCGATAAGACACCGACAAGAAAGATTTAAGAGTGTTTGGTTTGGGAGTGTGATGACAGAAGACAAGTCAAGGATGGCTTCCAGGTCACCTGGTAGAAGATACTACCATTTCCCCCTAAAACAAAATAGGATGAGAAGCAAGTTTAAGGGGGGTGGGGTCAAATTGACCTTTGACCTGGTGAGTTTTAGATGCCAGTCAGAAATTCAGAAGAAAAAGCCCTGCAGGGTAGAGATAGATAACTGTTGTGCTATAAATAGATTACAAGATTGCTGAAAAAGTGACCCCCTTCAACCTTCAGGGGAGCCAGGCAGGTCAAGTTGGTCTCATCTTTTCCAACCGTGAGCATTCTCAAGTGTTCATCCCAGTGTGCCCTACAATATTGTCCCTTTCACTGTGCATCATGACGTGAAAAGATTGGGAATCACACCAAATAGAGAAGAACAGAAGAATAGTAAGTCATGGAAGCCAAAAGATGAGAATACTACAAAGGAGTATAGTGTTTTCATGTAACCCAAAGAGGTCAATTAAAATGAGGCTTTTGAGACTGACACTTAGGATCGCACTGGTCCCATTCATAATACCAATTTTTGTAGAATCCTGGTGCAAATCTCAAAGTTTTGAGCTGTGAATGGGACACAGTGGCCCTAACATTATGGGCGTAGACTATTGTTTTCCATGAAGATAAATGTAAAAGAGAGGAATGAGATAGTGTCAAAGATCCAAGGATGATTGTTTAATCTGAGTGAGAAGTAAACTTGTTTACAAACCCTGAGGGAAAGGAGTTTGTAGCAAGATATACATTAAAAATAATAGGATAAAGAGAAAATAAATAATGGAGAAGCCAGGAGATTTCAACATGAGCACGCATGATCATTTTCTAGAGTGGAAGGGACAATTTATCCAATGAGATAAAATGAGGAATTGCTCACATGTAGCTAAGTTTCCTACCATGGAGGCAGAAAGGTGAGTTGAGTTCGTACAGGTAGTCTCAATTTGTCTGACATGTCAGTTTCTCTGTTATTTCCTGTAAGAATATGGAATCAATAGATGTTTGAAAACAGTCTTATATAATAAATTAGTAGATCAGTTTAGAAAAACAAAACAAAACAGAAAAATTATGAAGGCTTTTATTGGCAAACCAATGAATATATAAATTCTGCATTTCAGATATTTAAACTATACTAAACATAGAAGATTTTTTTCTTTGTTGCAGAAGATCCATATTGTTCTTCTGATTGTACCATAAATAGGGGCTTTGGGTAAAAGAATAAATCAAGGATCAAAATTCATTTTCAAATCTGTATTCCTTTGGTGTTCTTTTTATATTTCTCACTTCTAAGATTATTTTATGTGAAATAATTAAAAAATAAAGGCATGTGCCAAAAAATATACTGTCAGCAATAGCATTAATTATTTTAAAATATCAGGTGGCAGAAGCCAAGGCATGTTCGTATGTCATGGAAGACAGCAGGTAACTTTGTGAGGGTAGAAATAATTATTTTGCAAATTCCTCCATGCTGCAGTGAGCTGGGTAGCACACAGAACATTGTGTTAGTGGAACTGATAGAAACAATGTTGTCATGAATTTTTCATTATACTTTCTTTGCTTCCCTCACACTGATTCCCTTTTATGGGGTAAAACACCACCTTTATTCTGGTGCCCCCCCCCCCACCCAGTAAGTCTCTTTCTCTTATCATATTATTCACAGACCTCCCTAAATAAAATTCTTTGGTTTAAGAGATCATTTTGTGAAGCTTAAGGATAAATAAATAAATACATCACTTGTTCTAGACTCAGTAAAAACTAAAGCCATTGTCTGTCAACAATAAGAATATAAATAAAGCAATGGATCAGCACTTAATTTTCTAATACAGTGGAATTGTGACAACAGTGAAAAATATATTTGAATCTTCCCTCAAAGATAGAACATAATCCTGCATCTTTGTGCAGTTACAAATTTAAAACAGTCTCAGAAGCAGAGAGTTTGAGAGTTTTACATGTAGTTTGAGACTTTGTATATGATGTCAATGCTGACATTGCCTTTTTTTCTTCTCTTACATTCATTTGAAGGATGTAACAACTTTGCATTTCAGCCTTCACTTAAATAGAAGCTTGAGTTTGGCCAAATCCCTGATTCAAGCAAAACAGTTGCTCTTTCAGCTCCTGAGAAAAACCAGGTGCATTGTAGAAATATCTGTTGTTGACATACAATTCAAGTTTTACTCGGGTTTTTAAATACTCACTAGCCTGTTGTGTGCATGCATGTGGGAAAGAAAGGAAGATGATGCTAGTAAGCCCTCATGTTATAAAATATCATCCGATGCCAACAGAGAGGACTCGTGAACAAACCTCAGATGACTTGCTCATTCCCACAGAGAATCCAGGGGAACATAAAGGTAGAGTCTTTCTTACAGGAGGGGAGTGGTTTGTTTATAGATCAAACTGCTCTGTGTACTCTAAGGAGGGAGGAGTGAAATCTGAATTTTAATTGAACATGTGTTTCATAAAGGCTGGCTGGTCTTCCGCCGGCCGATTCCATTCTAGCGAAGTCAGGGTGCGTATCCGTAATTCAGTGTCAATAAAACCTACCTATGCTTGTTATAAAGTTTATGATTCAAGCTCCTTAAGCTATTGGAGGTGACTTTTAGTGAAGCAAAACTATTCATTTTCTCATTTAAAAGTTTATTTGCAGAACATTTCATGCTACCTATTAGTCAGTCATGAAATAGTCTGAGTTTATGGACCGCATATATTTTTTAATGCATAATTTCAAATGAATGTAAAAGGTATCAACATTTTCACTAGGAATGTATTTTTTTTTTTCAATTTTAAGGACCTTTCTACCAATAGGAAAGGTGAGTTAAGTTAGTTGAAGGGCTTATTTAATAAAATTAACAAAATCACTGATTTGAATAGTTCTTTATCTTTTCTCCAGTAAGATCAATATTACTGGATTATGTTCAATCATTTTCTAGACGGTTTTCTAAAGTTCTTGAAAGGACATTCAGAGACTCAAAAGGAAGAAATCGGGCTAGTTATAAATTAAAAGCAATTTCACTGGTGACTACGGGAGATATTCTAATGGGGAATGACCTTGGTTTGTCTGTTGGAAGGAATATAAATGTCTAATTAATTGGCCATGTCTACCTGAAGCCACTCACATTTTAAAATGTGGGGAAAAAGATCTTTATAATAACTTCTCAACAGGACATCAGACATCTAATTTACTAAACTCCTTATGATTTATGTGAATATTTTGCTAATGTGTAATCTCAGCCTTTGAGGAAGCAAAGATGCAGGACTATGATGTGGCATGTGAGTCCCTGGAATTTAGGCAGCTTGAAAACAATAGGACAAGCTTGAGGTTATTGACAAAGACCCGAGAAGACTCCTTTTGTAGGCTTGGGTGCTTGCTATGTGAGCTTAATTTACTGGTGTGATAATCTAAATGTACTCGCTGTTTGCAGGATTTCTGAGATCTCGATGGAGGTAGCCGAGCAAGGGCACCTAACAGCCGTGACTCCTCCAGCTCGCTCAATAGAAAGATGTGATTGTCCCCCAGGCTATTCTGGTTTGTCCTGTGAGGTAAGGGGCTACCGCTAACCTGCATAAGCTCAACTCACCTAACCAGCCAAATGGAAATACTTCCAGAACTATCTTGGCTACAATCAGTTTTCCTTGTTCATGCATATCCTTAACCTATTTTTTGTTTTTAACCCTCCGCTCACATCATGAAACACAGTAAGATGACGATGGTGTTATTGTGACCTAGAAGTAGGAATCACATCTGAAGGGAAATATTTGATGAAAATTAAAAGATTTGTAAAAATACGGAGCGGTCAGGAAATAAGAATGTTTTCATAAGGCACCTTTATTATATCTGAGCTATTTTCTCGGCACCTCTTCTGAATGGCTAAAGACATTTAAGCTGCAATGATTATGAGATGGGATTATATTGGGTTTTGAAAGATTGTTTTTGTATGGAACATGGAACAAAATGTAGGCACTGAATAGCAGACTGTTTCCTTCAACATAACCTTCCCAGAAGGACGTATATTTTTCCCACAATGCCACTATCATCCAGTCGTTATATTTTTAAAAACTGCTTATTTTGCTCTCTGGGATTTTCCTTTGATTATCTTTAGAACTGGTATATTTTCTAGATCTTTATCCTCCGGAAGTCTATTTAATTTTTGTGAATATTAAATATCAATAGGAAGAGTATAATATAGGGGAAAGTGGGATGGATGGGAAGCTGGACTGGTTTGAATCTCGACTTCACCATATACCAGGACTGAGACCTTGCACCATTTACTAAACCTCCAAACCCCTTACTGCCACCACACTTGCTTCTCTCCGGCAGACCATAGTCCTCCCCACAGTGCAACAACCAAAGGTGTAGGAGGGGCATCCAGGATCTGCTCCAGTCCTGCAGTGTAGATGCCTTCCTGGTAGGCACATTGGTTGGGGCCCACCACATAGCTGGTTAGATATTCTTAATACCTCTCCTACCTACAGCTGATGAATCATATGAAGATGCAACGACCTATGACCCTAAAGCACTATTACGGTGCCTGGCAGTAGTCAACGTTGGTTGATGTTAGTAGTGTTACTATGGAATAATTAGTTATATATCCATGCATTGATTTCTTTACAGAAAATGGTACGCATCTTTTGTAAATAGGATTTGAGGAGTTTGGGTAAGTATGGCTCGTAAGGCAGATGGTGGCACCAGCTCAAAACTAAAGTAACTTAAAAATAATGAATATAACTATCTTGAAATGTAGCATGCTATGATAAAAGAAAAGGAGTTTGGTTTCAGTGATTCCTCCCTAGCTCCACCACTCGGGCAGGGCATTCACTCTGTTCGTTGCTGGCCCTTAGGACTTTCACCTGTAGAATCATAATGAGGATTGATTTAAATGAAAATATGTGTGTGAAAGCCCTATTAATCTGAAATGCTATTCAACTTAGTTACCATTATATAAATTCCATGCTGTTCAGAGAACAAGTTCATAAGAAGAAGTGCAAGTATCTGTAAAACACACTTGGAATAATTTCATAACTTTGTGGCTGCTCTGAAAGGCAATATTCATATGAATGTGTCTATTTTGGTCTAATAAATAGTCAAATAACCCACCTCATTGTGAAGTCATAACTCCTACCTATACATATATGTACTTGTACACATACTAGTAGGTGTATTTATTGCATTTATATGCACAACCAACCAAAATACACAGATGCACACAGTGTAGATGTGAACAATGAGACAGTGAATGTGGCGCATATGAAACATGCTACCTTTCCAATGAGCATAAAAGACTTAAAGACGGAGGACAGAAAGAACTTGAGATTTTTCTACAAGTAGAATTTTATCCCGAGAAGCGTTTGGCTATACTGTGGGTTTACTGTGTGACCTTGGTCAGTTCTTTAGTTGTTATAGGCCTTAGTTGCTATATAGTTATCCAATCTATAAAATAACAGGTTGGGTTTTGAAGTTCGAAAATTCTCTGGCTCTGCAATATTATTTTGCCATAAAAGGTATTGCATAAGTAGTCAAGATTGACCTTTTGCCGTCTTAAAGAGAAAGCTACCACAGCTATATTTTTTTCTGCATGTATTTAAAAGAATACTGTTCACTTACAAATAAAAATGTGAGTAGAGGAGCAAATTATTTTAATGCGGTCTACCTTCCATTCCGGATTTTGAATGTTAAAAGCTCTTTTTGCTGTGATTGGTAGGCTTTTTAAATAACATATTCTAAAACATGCTTTTCCATTAATCTTAGTAATTTTCCATCATTATGTGAAAATATATATTAGCACAAATAAAGAAACTGATAAATGAAGAAGATTAAGAAAACTAGGAACACATACAAACCAGCATCTGCTTTGGTGGCTTCGTCCATGTCCTGTGAATTTCACTTAAGCTCCTATTTACAGACAATAATTACAGTAATATCCTAGTGTTGAGATTATGGGGCTAAAGGCCTACCTCTCATAATAAGGTGCCTGAGGTGCTCTCCACATCCCATTGCCTCTAATCCATTATACATCTTATTTATAATTCATCTTGATTCTAAAGTGTAATTGCCCAAGCATAAAATCTAATCATCAAAGCAAGAGCTAAGGACAGTTTTGAAATAATACCTCCCATTCCAGTAACATATGCTTTGGGTCATGAATACACAAAGCAATTCCTTTACAATACTTTTGCCAAATGTATGGTATTCTAGAGACATTTGCATTTACAAGCTCTTCATTTCCTGTTTTTACCCAAAATGTGGTTGCAAATAAACAGAATTAAGTGTTAGTTACTGCTGAAAGTATAGCGAATTGTGAAGACACTTAGCCTTTGCTTGTTACCTCTCATCTTATAATGCTTCGGCCCTATTCATTGAGAATGTTAGTTCTAGAAATGCCCACTTATTACAATCTATGATTTGGTGTAAAGATGAGATCACCTTTAGAAGTCAAATAGAGGACTCATTTTCCTTATCACATTTGTTGGTGTGGGAGCCATTGAGTTTCTCACCATTGTCTGAGTTCACATGATTGCCTGACTGACCTAAACTGACATAAACTCAGGTTAGGTTGTATGTAGAAATGGAAATAGTCAGCACTGAGTATATGGTTCTCTGCAATAAGATCATGGTGATCAAACAGTTGCAGATGATTTCTAGATCGTATGTTGCGCAGTTCAGCCCCTGTCTCCTCACCCTCATGTTATAATAGGGGGCTCACAGTTGAATGGCTGCTGTCTACCGGGTCACCATTCAAAAATAATTTTTTACATCTCCCCAAAATGTATACCTATTATCAACTCATAAAACTCAAAAGACAAAATCGTGAAAATAGACTTTTCTTCTTCCATACATACATCTCTTGGGATACTCTTTACCACTTTTGTTATATGTGGAAGATCCAAAGACTCTTTTCCTGTGCACAAAAATATTGAGGCACATGGTATGGGTAAGTAGGCAGACATGGATATTCTGTTACCCAATGCAATGTAGAACAATTACTGTTGTTTCTATTTTTAGTCTGTCTTCAATGACTATATTTAAAAAATTATCTGGAATAGAGGCATCTATGTTGATTTATTATATGTAAAGCACTAAACATACATCATCTTCTTTAATCCTCACAACAACCTTATAAAAGAAAAAAACAACTTACCGTTTACTGAATGCCTACTGTATCCTGCACAACATTTCCTAATATACCTACACCAACACTGAATAGGTATTATGACCCCCATGTTATGGATGAGGAAATGGAAGCCAGGCAGGTTACAAAACCTGCCCACGACCACACAGCTAGAAAACAGCAAAACTGCAATTTGAGCCCAATTAAGTCTGTTTCAAAAAACCTGGATGCACTTACATACTCAATTCTGATGTTCTACAAGATCCTTATGTTCCAGGTGAGGAAACTGCAGCCCTCAGTGTTCAACACCTGCGTAAAATTATATTAGTGAGAGGTGAACAAGAATGAAACTGAGGATTGCCTGGTTGCAAAACCCGCGTGAAGGTATAAGATAGGGTTTCCATTGGCAACAAGTACAAGTGTTCTTGTTAAAGTCTGAGGAGAGAGGTGGGAAAAGTTGTGTAACTCTGCACCTGGAGCTGTGGGTTCTCTATTCTTTGTCTCCATCCTCCCACATTTTTATGCAATTCAAACATTTTGAGATTTGAACATTTTGATGAGATGCCATATTATGAAAATAAAGATAGAAGAACTACAGAAGACAATTGTGCTATGAATAACTTTAGCACAAGGAAAGAGAACTTTGGAAAAGTTTGAGTTAGAAAAAAAAGGGGCAGTGTTTATTTGCTTTTTTTAAATTCTCCATTTTGTTTCAGAAAGGATTGTAGACAGGACTTGAAAAAATAGCTATTATCTTTCCTCTTTTTATTCCAACTCAAGCATAATCATTCTCATAAATGTTGCCCCAGTTCACTGAGAACATCTGATATTGAAAAACTTACAAAAATACCAAAATGTGGAAAGAATAAATACAAAAAGGATCCAAGAAAGGAGGGGATTAAGATGAAATGAATACATCCAGTTCCTTTAAAGAGTGTTTTATGGTTCTAACTCTTGCATTGTCTCTTGCTTTGCTAACTCTTAGAAATTTGATCTAGCAGGACATAAAATTTAATCTAGAGTGTTAGAACTAAAAGAAGATTCAGAAATCATCTGAGTTAATACACCTGCTCATTTGTGGAGTGGGGAAACCACATCTCAATGATGCCACGCAACTTGCCTGTATCCCTTAGAAAAAACTAACTTGTAAGATCAAGGCTTCCATATTCATTTGCATCACAGTACTGGAGTCTGTATGCCCTTTAAAAGGCACACATTACCAGCAGAGAGTGAGGAGCATGCCAGCGATTCTCAATTCTGGCTGCTTCTTAGACCCATCTAGGAGTTTTAAAACAAACTCTGGCCCTGATCTCCACCAATTAAATAAGAATTTC